CACAGGATAACCCCATAGGGCGTTGAATGCAAATGAGTCTTATCGAGAGATCTGTATWGTTTATTCGCACTCCCATACTTACAAAGAACAAAAAGTTAAAGAACAAAACTAGAAACTTGATCAGTTTTCCTSCTCCTTCAACGGCCATGGTCAATCAACCTAAAATTAAGTCAGTTTTAAAATTAGAAAGTAATAATTCAAAGACAATTTTTTAAAAACAATTACTTTTTGCGTCATATGTGCATGCTCTAGATATTCTTGTTCGACAGTTCCCTTTAATTTTCAATAGCAACAATGCAGTTCTTGCAACGACACTGCACCGTTTCACACTATTCAGTACTCTATGTTCTCTGAAGTAGATGTGTGCAATTCTGAGTGTAATGTCGTCCACAGATACAGCTTTTTAGTCCATGTGAAATMCGGCGAATGAACTCAGGGGCGGATATATACAGGTATACAGGATTGGGGATAGGATTGGTTCACCGTTTTGAACAATTCCTGATTTATTTGCATATCTTTTTCATTCAATATCATAATTCAGATCATAAGATTAAGCAAACAAGTTGTACTTGTACAAGCCTCGAAATAACATCTGGACCTACGCAGGACATAATGTTGTTCCAAATACTGTTTTGGAAGGTCATGATTTTAATCAATAAATTAAATAAAAAAAATAAATAAAATTTTTAAAGATTCCTAAATTAAATTAAATTTAAACTAAAAATTAAATTAAATTAAGATTTAAAAATTATTTTTTAAAAGATTCCGCTGGTAAATATTTTCTTTCAAATTCCGATTTGACGGGACAATCAGCAAATTTGGAAAGACATTGTCCCTTGATCTCCCCTTATTTCGAGCCCTGCTTGTATCATATTTTTTGCATAACATGAATCATGTAAGCAAAAATAAAGCCCACAAATGAAGTGTTGCATCTGTCAAGACCTTAACAGACGCGTTTCTATATTATGTGCCCAAGCCCACAAATGAAGTGTTGCATCTGTCAAGACCTTAACAGACGCGTTTCTATATTATGTGCCCCTCTCCCGAAATTTCTGGACCCGCCTCTGGAACAAGACATTAGACGAAAAAATAAAAAAAAATAAATAAATACATTTATCATATGACCCGTATTTCGGCCCTACGCGCGCTCTCACTGAAACCTTTGGAAAATGGTCACGTGATGGGGTCCGTACGCCTTTTCGCGACAGGTCCGTACAAACCCGTATTTTCCCGGCTTGAAGTTCCGCGCGGTTTTATTTACTTTTTTTACATTAAAAAACGCTGTCATATGATAAAATGCTTATTGACTGAGTTAGGTCGGGCCGTGCGGGAAAATATTTGGCTCTCGGTCATTTGTACGGACCTCGCTGCGCTCGTTCCGTACGGCATAACCTCGAGCCAAATATTTTCCCATACGGCCCTCCCACTCAGTCAATAAGTACATATTAAAATTTATCTTAAGTTGAATATATTTTTTTACAAAATTAAATATTCACGCATACAGCATTTAAAAAATAAAAAAATAAAATAAAAAATAAAATAAAAATCTAGAGCCGAATACTGTGATTATTACTGCATAGAGTATTCCGAGACCGAAATGCATTGTTGTTTTTCGATTTCACGTAAAATCACGATATGTCCGTGTTTTGAGAATGGTGTCACTAATAGCTGCTATTATAGTCTGAATCTATTGTCTTATTTTGTTCTTTACCCACAAATGTGAACAAATAGTCAATTTTCTACATTGCGTGGTCACATGAAACAACTCTAGATTGCAGTCCATCACTATTGTACCTTGCATTACTCAATATTTTCTGAAATGAGCGTATAATAAAAGCTTTCTATCTGTTGGACATAAACAGCGTTCGTCATGCTACTTAACAATACACAGGATGCTTTCAGACGCTTAATTTCAAACTGAGAGCTTTGCTATTATAACAGAGCTTATGTTGCTATAGAAACTACGGTCATGAAATATTTCATATTCAAATTTGTTTTAAATTGGAATCTTACGCCCACATATATTTTCTGCATCATTTAAAGTGATGATGAAAAGCTTAAATCATACCACTGCATAAAACGTTTTAATGTTTGTGCATAAARATTTGCATTAAAAGTTTTGACAGTTTTTGAAAATCATACAAACAAACTACTTGAAAAGTTGTACTGAAAGTGCGGTTTTTGCCGTGATGATTTAGAAGAAATTTGTACATATTGTACAACCTAAATCTCTCGTATTGCAAAGTTTAAATATGTCTAGGAATTCTTTAGAATAAGTTTACATACAGTATTTTTTAGCAGTAACTTGATCCAAAATATGTTTTGCCAAGTTGGTGACTGACATCAGGAATTAAATCGTTTACCCTCAATTGAACYGAAGCCGGTTATGCAAACTTCAACAAARATTATCTAAATATTRSGAATTAGATACRAACAAGTCTTGCTATCTTTATTCAGGAAAAGTGAGTCCGAATTCACCGAAAACCTCTGACAGGTCAAATCGAAAATATTCACCAAAGCCCAAAGGTTTTGAATATTAACTTCAACAAGCACGTTTCGCACAAGTAAACAAACTTTTCTCAAAATAACTCAAATGGTAAATACATGTTGCCATATCTCTTTATTAGCTAAAGTTCGATAACTTAATATAAATTGCCAAATAGGCCGCAGTAGATTTTCGCTAAAAATTGGTTTAWCTTTGGTTTAACTTATGTAAATTATCGAGGTCAAGGACCGTATCCATCCGTGCGATAGAAACGGGACCGATATTTACCGCAACTGACCATTCCTTACTTGTAAAAATACACAGAGAAAGTAGAGTARTCCTAGGACATTTAAACCATTCAAGTTCTACGAAAACCAGCCMATTCTAAACTTTTGCAAACCGCCAACCCTAAAATGCATTGAAGCAACCGCCGAAACAAATAACCGAGGAAAGAACTTATAAACTACGTAAATCCTTTCAATGAGTTGACGCTAAACAAGAATACTAAAGAATTACTGTCTTACTTTCTGTGGTGAATCTGTGTAATTTAGTTGGTTGTTCGCTGTGTTACTGGAGTGGAGTATCGCTATCGTGCAAGAGTACGTTTGTAGAGCAAACTCCTTAAGAATACAAAGGAATTCATTGGTCAATTGGTCAATTCTTTTCATTTCTGCATAATTTGACACAGGTATCCCAAATATCTGTTAACTCGTGGATTAATATCTTCTTGGCGTGCGGAATGAAACGCAAATGTAATAACAAAGTGCCAAAAGGGGGGTAAATAGTTAGAAAACTAGCCAGGGTGGTCTATATAAGAAATGGTTTTCAGGGTGACATAAAGAAGTTAT